AAACTGTGGATGCTTCCTTCAGGCAGCAGTTTAAAAAGGTATGCCTTAAACTTGGGTCCTCGAAGTTGCCCGTTTAGCCCAGGTGTCGTATAATGTGCCATTCTGGTCAAAAACATAAAATACCAACTTTTTCTTACTTGCAAAACCCACAGTAAAAAGTAATATACAGATCTATATTTTTTTTCCCCCACAGTGCACAAGATGATGATGGTATTATTGCCCAAATGAATGTCATCATTGTGGATAAACTTCTACAAAAGGAGGATTGGCGAGTTGAAGATCACCACCACCACCATATGGAAGAATTATCAAAGAAACTGAATGAAACAGTAAAAGGAGGATATATTGGTACACTCCAAGTTGATCCAGCCTACCTTATTATCCAGCCTGCTACAAGAGGTGAAATTTTAATGTTATAAAAAACTTGGCTATTCTTTAATTTGTTTCAAAGTATATTAAATAATGTATTAAACATTTTCAGAAAGTTTTCTCCAACTCGGTTGTGTATTATCTTTAAAGATTTCATTTCAAAAGTCCTTTCAGAACTCCTCCGTTAAACACCACCTTTATTTATTATTGTTTTTTACTAATAGTTTACAAATAAGAAAATCTTGAATAAGAATTTATCTATATCACAGCAGGTCAAGATTTTTGTTTTAATATGTCAATCAAAATACAAGTCATGGATTTCCTCCCACTAGGTTATATGATGTCTGCTGTTAAACATGTATAAAATTTTTACATCTTTGTGGCAGCGACCAAAGAAAAAAAATCACATATATAAAATTGAACAAAATAATGGTTTTGACTGGACATATGAAGACCAAGACTGGAGTGCTAGTTTTAAGATGGGCAACTTTTATAATCACCATCAACTAAAGTGTATTTTATTAAAATAAAACAGAATAAAAGCAACTGGTTTTCATTATGTTAAAAAACCAAGCAACTATCTATATACGCAAGTCAAAATATTTGTAGTTATCCAAACCTCACAATCCCGACCGAGATTTCTGTAGCTTGAACTTTTATTTTTGTTTTTAATAATGAGATGTGAACGAATTTCCTTTACAGCAATGGAATTTTTGTTTATTAAATTTAATTCGCATCCAGTAAATTGTACGCATATACGTTACGTAGTTTTTCAGTCAAAAGTTTGCCCCTGAAGAAGAAAGGTCCACCTTTCGAAAGTGTTCGGGTTTTATCGTTTTACATTAATACTGATCTGGCTGAATACTGCTCATTCGTGCATGTGTAGATACAAGTAAAATTGTTATAGTAACTATAAAAACACTTTGATTACTTTTCTTCTTTCAGTTCAGCAATCCAGTCCTAATGAAAATATCGTTGAGCAAGGTTGGTATTCATTTTTTATATTAAATGGATAACAGTTTCAAAGTTGTTGTTTTTTTTTGTATAATAAATATCAGTAATATTTGTCTGCTGTGTTCTACATTGATATATAAGTTTGTTTCTGTTTTCGTTGTCATATAAAGTTTAAATGGTAGACACAACCGGTTTGAAACATTTTATAACTAAATGTGTGTGTATGTTTGCATACACATTGTTTTCAGATTTATAGAATGAGTGTATTCCAAAATATACAATACCTTTGTCTTAACAATCAACTTTATCACGAGAAGTTATGTTGGAATTTATCATGAAACTGTTTACTTCAAAATGCTACATAAAAGTAATGTATTGTTTTTCATCCCTACCAGGATCTAAAGATTCAGATCTTCCAGAAAAAGGTGACAGTGAGGTTTACATCATCATAGGAGGGATAGCAGCTCTTATTCTTCTTATCGTTATTCAAGCCAGCTGTATGATCTACAGGGACAGAAGAAATCGACAGCACTCCCATGCGAAGGTTAGCGTTCTACCCGATCCTGCTAGTGTGATGTTTTTACATTCTTTAGTCTCGGGAAGTTTGTATGATTTGTTTTAAAGTGTTCTTGGGCTAAGTGGGTTGAAACCTGACTCTCGGGAAATTAAAATCATAGAAGTTGAGCACACTGGCATATTAGGAAGTTAAATGTTTACATGAAAATAGTGTAAAATCTCATGGCCAGTTGATAGAAAATAGTTAACTGTTACACCCTCACCATTTTAGTGTTTTTTCATGAAAATAGCGTAAAAGTAAAATCTCATGGCCAGTTGATAGAAAATAGTTAACTGTTACACCCTCACCATTTTTTCTCCTATTCTTTAGAGGCTGCAAATTAAAATTTGATGTAAGGGGCTTTATCATGATATATTTTAAGTGGGTAAGTTAATCATCAACAAACATTAGTCTTGAGATAACGATGCACAAGTTGAGCAACCAGTTACAGTTTGTTTTAAAACAGTATTGTACTTTGTAGGTGTGGTATCTTTTCACAATATATTTCCTTGCCTCAGATTTGAAGCAGACGAGTGCTCCGTCAACAGAGTTAAATGGTTAGCCCCTTACTACTTGTTAGTACAGCACTTTTATAAGAAGTCAAACTACTCCATTCTTACTCTCTCACAAACAGGGCTGAATTGCAGGGTTGTGAGATAAACCAACATTGGACACTAATGTAGTATTTTCTTGATATATTTCCTCACCTTAGATTTGAATCAGAGACCAGTAAATTATGATTGTCAGGATGTTAACGAAATTCTATATTGAGAGTTTAAACCTTATCTTCAGGAAACTATCTGAAGTAAACCCTTAAAGCAGTTAATTCATTAATGCATTTGCCCAATTTCTTATCATTAGGAAATGAGAATATTTAAAACTTTATAACCTAATGATCTGTATAAGTAATCACACAGAATTAGAATATCATTTTCATTGTACTTCAGGAACAATTGATCAATTCTCACTGGAAGGACTACGCAACAGCCAGCAGTACTTATAGCTACGAGAACTTTGCAATGAGAGAAGATGACGGTAAGGTAAGCAAGCACCCTGTAGGATCCGTGTCCAATGGTAGTGCTGTTTCCCGAAAGAGTGCGACGTCTCATCCTAGTGCCAACGGAAAAAGTAACGGTCGTTCTGGACATTCTCGTCCTCTCCCACCAGCTGGACACAGTCGCACTCTAGAACGTATTTCTTCTCGTCACAGTGATGGTTTCTCTAACATGTCTGGATATTCCAGTGCATACGCCACTCATGACAGATCTCTCCGATCTGCTTCTAGTACCTTGAGGGCTCAACAAGAGCTTCAACCAGACTTTTACTTCATGCCACATCAGCGGCGCTACTCGGGAGAAGTTGTACGGGTGTATGTGGACTATAATAATCCCGAGTACAGTGGGAAATGAAAAATATGCATGTCTCTAACTTCATCTATCTTTTATCTCATTTACCCTATAATAAATGGGCAGTGTTATACGAACAAAAGCAAGATTGTAATTTGGCAAACTATATTTTATGGATTTAATCAAGTGTGTAACTATCACAGTGATTTGTTCGTGTCACTTGTATTTCTTCCAACTGACCACCTAGAGGGATTGTTCCACTAACATAGTTGTACATAATCATGATTTTATAAAATAATAAACTACAAGGTTGTGCCAGTCCATAAAAAAGACATTTTGTAAATTTCTCTAAGCAAGTGTGCGAATTATTTAGCCCTTGTTTCTTTTCTTATACTGACCACTCAGGGTGTGATCTTGAATTATTTTTTATGTAGTGTTTTAAACTAGAAGTAATGAAAACTTGGGAATACCAAGTTATGTCACGTAAAACAAACTTCGGTTTCTTGATAACGTTGTGAGTACGACAGAATTAATTTGTTTTCCAAAATATAATAAAAAAAAGAATTTTACTCGGATTGTTCAGATATATTTTTTTCCTAAAGTCTGATAAATATTTGTCACAAAACACTTCTTTTTATTAAACTCTACAGACCAAATTTAGCCTGCTAACACAAAATAAACCTTTCTTCTTCTTGTTGAAAATAGTTGTAGTAGTGTTACAAATCTTTTATGACCAATATATGATCCTGTTTGTGTAAATCATCCAACTCGTATAAAACAAGGATGACACGTTAGTGTATAATTCTATACTTTTAATCAATAGGTATTTAAATTTAAGTTGTACTTTAGAATGTATATCGTGCTAACCTTTGAGCTTTAAGTGTATGTATAGATTAACAGGTTCAGTGCTTTTATTTATTTTTCTCATTTCACTAGATTCTTGTGAATAAGACTGAAGGTTACGAGTACAAAGCCAGTGACTTGTGTTATGAGGTTCATTTAATCATTATTTTTTTGTGACGAAATTAAAAAAATAATGATTAAATGAAACACATTACATGAGTCGCAGGCATGAACTTCTATGGAACTACAGATGACGAAAAATTTTGTTTACATTGTTGGAGAAGTAACAGATTAAACAATGAATAAGCCTACACGTAACGTACGTGGTCTCGATATTCGGGCTTAACGGTAAGTGTACATGAAGTTAAATATTAATTTTGTCGAGGTTTAAAGTCCAAGGAAGAAAACTGAAGCTGAATAACACTCATTAACGACCAAGATGATAACTGGTATGTTTAATATCTTACATAAATGTAAGGAGGGATCATTAAAGACCAAGATGATGTAAATGTAAGGAGGGATGCAGATGTTTAATGTTGAATCTTAGTTGAGCTAACTTACCACTAATGAGAATATTATAATAAACGAAGGTGTGTGAAGACATTGAATTTATTGCTCAATGATAGTTTGAAAAGCTATCAATTGGAACGTGTCTTTATGTGAAATAAAAGTTTTATTAAAATGTCGACTTTCATGTGAATAAGTTTAACACAGGAGGGGGGGGAAATACAGGTGGTACACTTTCTTCAGAATTGACCTGGCTATGTTATACTCATTAAGCTGCATTGTAAATCACTTACTATGTAATGTACAGTCCGTCATTAAAAAGATCAGTTATAATAGAACTGTATGAAACCAATCAAATAATGCTTTTTCCTTTACGTCAAATTTTATAAGGATACTTAACAGAACAAAGATTTAAATTATTTTATTAAGCACTGCAGAAAGAAAAATTTATGTTGTGTATTTATAAACAACCCACTGTAATGAATAATGTTAGCACAATAACAATTCATTAACATAACATAGTGTAGTACAGACATTCCCAACTTAGGGTACATAGGGTTCTGAGAGTTTAATCTACAGTCAGACAAAGAGAGCAAAGTTGTTCACATAGATATACGCTGAGTTCAATTTATTGATGTTATCAATACTATAAGATCCTTATGCAGTCCACACATATACAGATTTCATAATAAAATAATATAAAATCAATATAATTTTATCAAATTTTCATCCTTAATTTATAGGGGTACATGGGAACCTGTCAGAATGTCCAAGGTCAAGGGGTACAGAGGAACAAAAAGGTTGGGAATCCCTGGTGTAGTACGAGTATATTTAGAGCATCAGTGTATGAAGGAAATTATACAAGTTTTATTCACAAAAATGCTTTGCTACAACACTGTAAAAATTATACAGAAAACTCGACATTGATGAGACGTTTGTTCCATGATAAGTCTAATCTTAACGAATGCTTGTGAATAAATTCAGTGCTGACTTGGCTTCCTGTGAAACACACAAAAATTATTATAGATTGAACAAAACTGAAACCTATATAACAAAATTATTACTTTCCTTTAAACTTAAACAAGGAGAAATTAAGAACATACCTTCTGAGACCTTGCCTTGCTAAAGACATTCCAAAACCTTAATGTTTCATCCCCAGCACCTGTCACAATGGATTCACCGTCAGGTGACACTGCCTGGTAAAACAAAAGCATTACTAGTGATTATTACGTTACTATTTAAATGGGAAGTTAATATACTTGACTGTGGCAATATTTTTGAAGTACATCACTTACAAACACATAAATTTACTTTGAGCAACAGCTTTTCATTTTGATAAGTATCTCACAAAAAATAAAATCCAGTTCAGGATATAACTACCAGAGAGAAATGCGTATATTACACCATAAATATTTCTCTATTAAAAGCAATTGGATGCGTATGGAAAATGTGAAACCTTTTCTTAACAGTAAAACTAGCATTTTAACAACTGTATTTGTTGTTTAAGACTCGTAACGTAGGTAAATTAATATGCAGAAATATACACGGACTGTTCTCTATGTTAAAATACTTTCATCCCTCTTACGGGAGCCTTCATTAGCCAACAATGTACTTGGATACATTGTTGCTCACCGACGGATCACAAATAAAAGTATTTTAACTTAGAGAAAAGTCCGTGTATAATTCTACTTACTGCTCATTCTTGTTTGGTTTAGATGGAATATAGATACCACACAAAACTTGAAATGATGAGGTAAAACGTTCTCATAAAATACAGATGCTGTTTCACTCTCCTGAAACATGCAATGTTTAAATGGAAGCCTTATGTTATGAACCCTGTTAGCCTCGTTTCTAGAGGGAGATCTTTCTTAATTATGTTGCATACTAAGATGTAAAACCCATAGACAGCTCTTGCTATTGACCTTTATGTTTGTGGATTCTCACTCCTCACAAGATGCCACACTTTATTTACAGGCTGGGGTATGACTTGTTGAAGGTTTCTTTTTAGATGGCTCTGTTACCCCAAACTGATCCATATTCCTTTATTTTACAATACCATTAAGTAAAAGGCTTACCACCATCTTGCATATAATAACCCAATCTGAACACATCTTTACAATCTTAATATACAAATATTTTGCATTATAAAGGGCTGTTAAATAAGATCAACCAACTTTCGACAACACACAATAATGAAAAATGTAGTTCTAATACACACCATTCTACCTCAACTTTATATCAATAGTGGTATCATGTGAATTACTGATTTGCTTATTCAAAATCATTTTAATATACTCAACCATGTAAAACGTCTGGACAGGTGAACTATGATCCTTTGGTTGGTATTTAAATAGGACTCAATAATTTAATCACATTCTTCCAAGTATGGAGTTGCCAGTAAAAAAATGTGTGTTTAATAGTATTTCACTATGTCGTAACCTAACCAATATGATGAGCTCAAATGTTGAATAAAATGCCTAACTGGAAATTCTGTTATTCACCATTTTTACTGGACAACCCATACTGGGGCAGTAAAGAATAATGGGATTATTGTTTGTTTCAGAAATTATTGCAAAGCTACACAAGAGACTGGAAGGAATGAAGCTAGTCAACAGTATGTGCAGTCAACATTGGTACCAATCTTATCGAATACCGGATTTGACCATCATTCTTGTACCCACAATTCTAACTTGCAGGGTGTGATTTTGTGGCAAAGGGATACGAACCACGGACCCTTGGACCGAAAGTCCAGCACGCTAACCACTAGGCTATGCTCGTTTGAAGATACTATTATTATCAGACTTAGTAATGAATCAAGCACTACTCACCAGGTACAGTACCCTATAAGAGTGCCCCGTTAATTTAGCTACTTGAGTTAAGGAAGGGTACTTCCACACGAGGATCTGGTTCTGGGAATATCCATGAGTGCTTACCTAATCAGAAATGAGAATCAATTTTATTTGTATGAAAATACTGGTAAGAATAATCAACAAAACACTACCACAAAGAATTATGTATAGTTATTAAGTACCAGTCCTGTCTACAATTTACACCAATAACTCAATATTTTCTAAATCAGGTTTTAACTTTTTGCTTTTCATGAGCCCCCCTTTTATTAAAATATATAAAAACAATAAACTTAATTAAATGTTCATGTGATATTGATGGATTTTTGTTTATCATAAAATTACTAACATCTAATATTGTCACAGGCCATTAGTCAGGAAATAGTTAGTTGTTCCAAAGTTTTCAATCACAAACCACTACGTATAAAAAAAGTGCAACTCACAAGTTCCGAAGCATGCTTAGACCATGCTAAGTTGCACACTTGTGACCCTGTGTCCACACACTGCATGGGCTGACCAGTTAAGGTGTTCCAGAACCTTATACACCGGTCAGCCGTACCCCCACCACTGGCCAAGAGGCCATGGTGATGTGGTGACCAAGCAATAGCCTTAACAGCAGCAAGGTGTTCTGTGTACGTCTGTACGGGTACCACGCTGTTCAGGTTCCACACAAATAACTTGTTGTCGTTCCCGCCCGAGGCGAGATGCTGGTTATCTGGTGACCACTTTAATCCACAAACCTGAAAAAAACGTTTATCATTACATGATTTCTGCTCTTTCGATGATATTCAAGTGTTTTTCACATCAAATTATTGATTTTAAATGGAAAAAAATATGGGTTTTCCTATAAAGTTAAAATATTTAAGTTCAGCATGTATATAAACAGAGCTATAAACTTTTTAGTCCTAAGCACCAAGTAACATGCACGTGTTCATTCAATGAGGATAATACTGAACCCTCTGATAAACAATCAGTCGCGTAGTCCCTTCAACAGACCGAGTCATGTAGGGATGAATTTCACAAGTTATCTAGTGTCTTCCAGAGTATCTGTCATCATATGCTAATCAGCATATTACTTTGACATGTCACCCCTTAAGGACATTTTATGCACTACAGTAATGATGTTTGGTTTGAATTTCGTGAAAAGCTACACGAGGGCTAGCTGCCCCTAAGTTGATAGTGAAAGACTAGAGGGAAGTCAGCTAGTCATCACT